AAGATCCAAAAACTCCGAAGCGCAGCGCACTCTTTCCTGTCTCTGTACCGCTGAAAGAAGTTTCGGTACCCATCTTGCACTCACTTTTTTCATGTGAAGATGTTCATGGATCGCGCGATGAACGGTACTTTTAGAGAGCCCAAGCCTTGCTGCAATTTTTCTAATCTTCAAACGGCGGTCACTCAGAACCTCCTCTTCGATAAGAGCAATCGTTTCGGGAGTGAGCACTTCCACAGGTCGACCGTCGTGGCCAAAGTCTTCGACGGTTTCTCTCCCGAGGCGAAACTCGTTCACCCAATTTTTCACTGTGCTATAGGAGGGGGCAGACTCCTTATACACGCCATCCAATCGTTCTTTTATTTGGGCAGGGGATAAACCTTCTTAAAACAGAAACTTTATGACACTTCGATCCTCCGTTTTCGACATTTTGAAAAAATACGCGACTCTCGTTATTCAAATGCCTGTTAAACTAAGACTAAGCATTTCATGTCGATGCATGTTTCTTATATTAAGTGCACGATAAACGTACTATTTAATGCAACACAACATGTAGCGACATGTCGCGTTGAACTATATCAGGCCAGTTCATTATGGGACCGCCTGGTAAGAATATTCACTACCCCATATCATCCCGTGGATGTCGTAAAAGGCGACCAAGGGAAACAAATGAGATGGGTAGCAGCGTCTTCCTAATAACGACTGAAAATAAAAAAACCAAAACACTTGCCAAACGTGATAACTTTAGCTAATATCCCGTCTATGATGCCATCTATGGGTGAGGCACGGTAATGATAATAAAGCGACCATTAAGATATAATAAATTCAAATGAATAAATATTTGAATAAAAGGCCAAAAATTACAATATAAATGTTTATTATTAGTTATATATATAATTAAAAAGGTAACTACTTAGTATCACAGTTTTATCTTAAAAATATTTTGAAAAAGGCGGTATATCCATCCCATCATAAAAATTAGGAATGTGCAAGAACAGTATCCATGAAGTCTGAAAAAGAAAACAATTTTTTTTATCAATTTGATAATTACTAAGTTATATAACAGTTGTTTTGGAGCATATTACAGAAAATGTTTTTCGATAAAATAGTAATTTTCTCTAGATCGATTTCGGTCATGCCGGCTAGTCTCAATGGAGACTAGCCATTTACGCAGAACAGGATTATAGTGCTTAAGTGTATGCGCAAGCACAATTGCACCCCCCCTCTATTCCCTCACTCTCATAGTCTTATGGAGAGATCTAGCGCTGGACCAACGGCTTTGCTTTACGTGCTTTCCGAGGCACGGGGGTGAAACACCGCCGAAAACCCAATAACTTATTTTGGCCCGAACCGAGATTCAAACCCGGGACCTCATGATCAGCAATTGCGTTTACGACCACTAGACCAACAAGACTGTCTCGATAAAATAACAAAAATATTTTTTATTATAATGATTTAATGTTGGTAAAAATGTCAATGAATTATCTTAAATAATATAAAAGACAATTCATCCTGCTGAACGTAGAAATACTTGTAAAAATAAAAAAAAATACAAAAATTAACTAACGATAGTTTTAAAGAATAAGAAAAGCAGTGGTATGTGTTGTAAGGCAATTCATCCTCGACTTCAGATAATAACGCATCTGTGTTGACGTCATCAACCTTCTTTGTTGTAAGTTGAGGAGGTGCAATGGATAGAGAAGCCAACTACAGAACTAATCTTGACTGCTCGTAAAATTAACACTTTATTGTTATAAAATAACATATTTATTTAGGAAACCGCATTATGTTCATTTACAATTTCTATATTTCACTGAATATGTATGTATTTCAATTACTTACAATAAAGATATTTTACGACTTTGAAATTTGTTTTATTAAAATTAAATGACAAATTACCATTTTTTCTTCTCCTTTTAAGTTAAAGTTCGACATATTATACTTTCCAACTGACATATACTTTCACTTTCCTCGACCTGGAAATATTTTATACTGATTAGTTCACTTACATAAATGAATAAAATATAATAATTAATCATCCAGTTATTATTATTTAACTTTTTCTCACACATTCAAATTCAAATATACCATATAAAACATCTCTATACTAAAACTACTAGTAAAATTTAAGGATCTAATGTGAAACAATTTATGCAAACATTAATCTTATCAAGATTTTGAATTAGTGATATCCTGGTCAATTTTGACAACTTTGAAAAATTATCAGAAGTTATCAACCATAGTTGCCGGCACGAAAGGTGAGCACAGATGAACTATGGTGGGGGTTGAGCCAGCGTAGATACACTGTCGGCCAAAATTATTAGGTACTGTTGTTATTTCAATTCATAATTGAATATTTTCGCTCACTTTTTTTCGAAATTCTGAGTCGTTAACTCCTTTAACTATACGACGTACAGTAGCTACGTAGACATTAGTCGCCTCAGCAGTCTGTTTATTAACGTCTATCATGTTTTTCGCAATACCTAATTATTTAATGTAACAAAACACTGAATAGACCATTTGTCGGGATTGTCTAACACCGAATTCTTTCTTCTCTGCATATTTAGCCCAAAATCCGAATGCTCAAATGATAACAAAAAAAATTAACAACAAGAAATATCAAAAACAGTTAAAAACAAGAGATACACAAACAACAATTAACAACGAGGTAACACTACAATTAACAAAAATAAATTAATTAAAAAGTTGTCACTAAAATTGCTCTCAAGTGTACGGGGTAGTCGAATGATACGTGTGAACCCAATAGGCGACGAGAATCGGCTGACGAACCAATCACGTTGAGCGTCAGCGTGGTCAACGTCATATCGACCAATAAAAAGTGTGCTCACGACTCGTGGCGGCAATCATACTCAGGTCTATTCTAGTACACAACATGTAACATAATTAACGCACTTTGAGAAAGTAGTTTCTTCAAAATCGTTTACTGAATCGATTCCTATCATTTTAATATAGGTAATTTTTTATCCCAAAAATAATTAAAACTACGTAAATTACAGTCACACTAAATCTGTACAGTCAAAAAAAACTGAAATGGACCGTAACTTAAGGCAATAAGACTTTTAAGAGTGCAGTTTTATTTGTATTATTACTAATTCTGTCATTCAATAAAAATAAAGAAAAATGAACTTTATTTCAAGCAAGTTAAAGTCTTTGCGTTCGTGGATTTGTACTGTGACCACAACATTCTTCCGGAATTAGTATAACTAATTTGATAAATAATCAGTGCATAAAAATGTTTAAGGTCAACCGGGGCTAAGGCGTCTTAGGGGTTAAGGCGTCACATTCAAATATCATATGAAATACGAATTTAAGAACTACTTACGCCATCTTTTAAACCAGCTTCTTATTTAGCACCAGACTAAAATATTTAATTATAGATGTCGATACTGGCCTCATTTTTGTTTAAATTTTCGCCATCTTGAATATGTCACTTCACTTCGAAGCTCGCGTTAGTGATATGTGGTTATTGAATCCCCTTAAATCTCAGTGTTTTCTAGACTATCGGTGTTTTTTACCTGTTACCTTTACTCCTGTTACTTTTACCTCCTACCTTTCATTCTGAAATGTTTTACGGTTTGTTTTAATTATTTTTACTAAAGGCCTAAAGATTAATTGTCCACGTGCAGTTAAAATATTTTTGGTTATGTTTCTTTGTCGGGGCTATCGCGTCTGCCTTATTGGGGTGATTGCGTCTATTGTAACGCAATAGCCCCATTTTATGAGGTCCTAAACCTTTTTATTTTAAGATAACAATAATGCAATAATTGATCTAAATACATATACACTAAAATCATTTTTTTAAATATAGTTATACCCTACTTATATATATATTGGATGGATGAATATATGCATGTTTGTTACTCTTTCACGCCTAAACGAAAGAACAGATTTTGATGAAATTTGGTATGGAGATAGATTAGACCCTGGATTAATAAATACATAATAGGCTTTTAACAGACTTTGGAAGAAGTAGGTGGTTTCTCGCGAGTGAAACGGAATTACTTTAAATATTACAAACAAAATATATTGTTTGTAATATTTGAAGTCTTTTTTTTTTGGGTAATTTCACTGTTTATTTGACACATTTTTCTAGATGATATTTGTAATTAAACCTAAATTTTTCTTTTAGATTTTTTTAAAATGGTTCGTTCATATAAAAGAAAAACAACACCAACTTACGATCCTGAAACCTTAAGGAAAGCAGTAGATGAAGTCAAAACTGGCAAAATAAATTCGTACCAAGCTGCAAAAAAGTATAACATTCTTCGTATGACTATATTGTGATAGAGTGAATAACAAAAAAGGTATCGTAAAGGAGAACCGAGGACCACCTACAGTGATTGACAGAGAAAATGAGCTCAAACTTGCAAATGGTTTACGGGTTATGGAAAAATATGGGTTCGGACTCACTTCCAAAGAAACGCTAGATTTAGTTGCCGTACACGTGAGTGAAAATAACTACAAAACTCCATTCAAAAACAACAGACCCGGTTATGATTGGTTTGCTGCCTTCAAGAAGAGGCACAATTTGTCCTTAAAAAGACCTCAGGCGGTGGAAATGTCAATAAAAGTGGCATGTGACCTTTTATTGTTAATGAGTATTTTGATACTCTTGATGGAGTTTTGAGTGAACTTAATTTAAAAGGAAGACCTGATAAAATTTGGAACCTTGACGAGTCAAGTTTTGGAAAAGATCCCGAACGAACAAAAGTGGTTGGAGTCCGTGGATGTGCCAGTACACGCACAATCGCGTCATCTGGAAAAGATAATGCCACAATTTTGTTCACAGTCAACGCAATCGGTGACAAATTACCACCGTTGATTATACACAGAGGAAAAAATACGTGGGACCAATGGCTGTCAGATAAAGGATTTGAAAACACATCCTATGCTGCCACTAAAAATGGATGGATCGATGCAAAAGTATTTGAAAAGTACATACATGCGTTTAAGTGAAGATCCAGCCGCTTTATTAATATTTGATGGCCATTCTACCCATATCCAACTTTAAAATTTTAGAAGAAGCACAAAAACGAGGCGTAACTATTATAAAATTACCATCACATGCAAGCCATCTTCTGCAGCCATTAGATTTATCAGTTTTTAAATCAATGAAAAACACTTGGGATGCAATACTTGTGCATTGGCAACGGTTAAATGTGGGCACTAAATTGCCAAAAGATGAATTTAGTCGCCTTCTTGGAGAAGTGTGGCGTAAATTAGACACAATAATAATTACAAATGGCTTTAAAAAAGGGGGCTTATATCCATTTGACAGAAAAGTAGTTGCAGACGAAAAATTTGATCCAGAATCATTGAAAAGGTTCAGAGAACATAAAACGATACCAAAACAGATTCAGACATTAAAAAAGTTAAGTTTGGCGGCCGTTACCCAAGAGTTGAGCATTAGCAAAAATCCCATAGCAGCGTCATCAAAATTAGTTTTGCCAAACCAGGAGATGAAATTTGATAAGTCTAATGATTCAAAGGTAATTAGAATTATTGAAGATAGAATTTTGGCTCCCTCGGAAAGAGTTTCTTTCGAAACTTTATTATTGCAGACAATAAAGAAAAGTGACTCGACAATAAAATTGAAAAAAACTAAAATTGCTAGGGGGTGTGAAATAATAACGCGAGAACAGTTTATAGAAAAAAAACGAAACGAAGAAAAAATAAAGCAAGAAAAGAAAGAACTGCCATAAAAATCCCCAAAACAAAAAATATTAAAAAAGAATTGGACCAAAATCGAAAAAGAAATTGTATAAAATTACAACAACAAGATGAGACTGATGAAAGCAAAGATATTAAAAAAAACCTTGTAGTAAGAGCTTATCTAAGCAAAAACCTAATAAAAATGTTAAAAAGAAAGCTAAGAAACAAAAGAAATGTTTTGATTATGACGAAGAATCTGAAAGTGAATTAGATATTAGTTTTGCTGAAGTTTCCGGTTCTGCTGAACTTTCTGATGAAGATTTTGATAACTATCGTGAAAACTTTTTAGCGGAAATAAAAAGTGATGATAACTTTCTCGAATATTTGTTGCAAGCCACAACAGAAGAAAAAGAAAATGACAAATCTTACGTAAATAATGATGTAGACACTACAAATATTGAACAATTTGAACCGAATTTAAACAAAAAGAACCTAGAAGTTAGTGATTGGATACTATTATTATATATATAATATACTATTGGATACTAAGATTCACAACAAAAAAAGTCTGTGAAGTATTTTGTGGGGACCATCATTTCTATTAATGACAATAACATTCCTAACGTCAAATTTTTAAGAAAAATAAAAAATAGTAAATTTGTTTCCTTTCATTATCCAGACGTGGAGGATATATCAGAAGTAAAGAATGATGATGATATCATAATGTTCCTTGAAAAGCCTGATATATCTCGAAGAGGGCATATTACTTTCAAAGAAAATTTTAAAATGTATAACATTCAGTGATTGTCAAATTAATTTAGTAATTAAGAAGACCTGAGTGAGAGTGACAATATCTATAAAATTGCACGTGATCTCATTACCTTATTGAGATAACAATGATAATGAAACTAATATTAATTAATAATAATGTTTGTTAAGGTACTTCACACCTAGCGAATGTTACACAATTAAACTCAAATTTTTACATACAACATTCAACATACAATAGGTATATAAGATTACACTATTAACCCGGCGTCATGGGGGTTGGGTCAAAATTACCCGACGAGTTTTGATTTACTTATAAGTCTTTTACTATATATTGGATAGTGCTGTCCCTTTCAGTAGCTGGAGTTATTGATATGTTCTAACCGTTCGTGACAAGCAATCAGTCGGGCGGCGTCTGCGTTAGTGTGTACGCGTGTGCAAAGTAGAAAAAGGTAAATATGACCCATCCCTGTAGTCAATGTAACAATTTCGCGCCATATTTATGATGAAAATTTTAAGTTGTTTTTTCGATAAATATAATGTGTTTTATACTTTTTATGATGAAATTCAAACGCATGTTTGTCGAATAAATATTTAGTTTGAGTTTTACCCATCCCTGTAGTCAATGTAACAATTTCGCGCCATATTTATGATGAAAATTTTAAGTTGTTTTTTCGATAAATATAATGTGTTTTATACTTTTTATGATGAAATTCAAACGCATGTTTGTCGAATAAATATTTAGTTTGAGTTTTACTTTTTTGTAGGTAGTTCGCAAAAATGGACCCAGAAGAAAGACTACGTCATAGGCTAATGGCAGTTCTTGAGGAATCAGATTCGGATGTGGATATGTGTGACCAAGAATCAGCTGAAGAAGACCATGTGAGTGAACGTAGTCAAGAGAGTGACACGGAACAAGAGGCCTCAGATAGCGATGATGACAGTATCCCGTTGTCCATGCTTCGAAACCAAGCACGTTCTGATAATATTGAGGCAAATCCTTGTGTGCAACAGGAATCCCGTACAATAAATCGTGAGTCACAACTTCCACATTATCTTGGCAAAGATGGAACGGTTTGGTACAAGACACCGTTCCGTCAAAATACTCGGATCAGAGCTGAAAATATTGTAACGCAACGCCCAGGTGCAGCTTCTGTGGCGCAATCTGCTATGACTGAAATAGATTGCTGGTCTCTTTTTTGTACTGAAGATATGCTAGAAAATGTTTTCAGATATACTAATGCACGTATTAGACCTAAAATTTTATCTTGTCAGAATTTATCTAAGTATACCCACATAAAAGAATGCAGTATGGCTGAATTAAAAGCTTTCTTAGGGCTTTTGTATATTGCTGGACTAAACCGCTCTGGGAGGCAAAATTTGAGTGATTTGTGGGCTACTGATGGTACGGGAGTGGAAATATTTGGTCTTGTTATGTCAAAACAGCGTTTTCATTTTATCCAAGCTTGCTTGACTTTTGATGACATTTCCACTCGTGAAGAAAGGAAAGCACTAGATAACTTAGCACCTATAAGGGACCTGTTTGACATTTTTGTTGAGAATTGTAAAAAAAACTATGTCCCAGGGGAATGTCTAACAATCGATGAAATGCTTATAGCTTTTCGAGGCCGATGTAAATTTCGCCAATACATACCTTCGAAACCAGCTAAATATGGCATAAAGATTATTGCTCTTGTAGATTCCGAAAAGTTTTATATCAAGAACCTTGAAATATATCTAGGAAAACAACCTGAAGGCCCATACTCTCAGAGCAACAAACCGTTCGATGTTGTTCATGATCGCATTGTACAGCCCATATCTAAAACCAATTGTAATGTAACCTTTGACAATTGGTTTACAAGCTACGAAACTATCCAGCATTTGCTCCAGCATCACAAACTAACATCTGTCGGCACGTTACGTATGAACAAGAGACAAATCCCTCCTGAATTTACTAAAACACGTGGAACGGAGGTGTATGCGTCTCGATTTGGTTTCCAAAAAGACTGTACCATTGTTTCCCATGTTCCTAAAAAAAATAAGGTCGTTTTACTGATATCAAGCTTGCACCACGATGACGCTATTGATGTTTCAACTGGAGAAAAGAAAAAACCAGAAATCAACACGTATTACAACTGCACCAAATGTGGCGTGGATGTAGTCGATGAACTATGTGCCACGTATGACGTGAGTCGTAATTCGAAGAGGTGGACCATGACCATTTTTTATGCAGTACTGAACATGGCAGCTATCAATGGGCTTATAATACACCGAGTAAATAATAATTCAAATATAAAACGCCGCCGCTTCTTGAAAAACTTAGGCCTAGCTCTTGTGGGAGATCATATGAAAAAACGCAAAGACGTTGTGCAATTGCCTCGAGCAATGCGAAAAAAGATCGGTCGATTCGTTGGCGAAACTTCAGCAGAACCTCCAGCAAAAAAGAGCAATGTTCGCAGGAGATGTCAGGTATGCCCAGCAAAGAAAGACCGCAAAACAACCCATACATGTAAAAAATGCAACAAATTTATTTGCCCCGAGCACGTCCTACCTTTATGCTCTGACTGCTTCGACAATGATGAGTCTGATTAAAATTATTGATTGTTTCTCAAAAGACACATAATCTTAGTTCCTAAAAATGCAAAGTACATTCAAGACTGATAAAAAAATTATTATTTTTGTTAGTTTAGGTAAAATGTGATTAAACTGTTGATTTTTTTTTAGTTATTTTGGAAAGAAGTTTAATAAAAGTAATTTAGTAGTTGTAATTAATATTTTTGTTTTTTTTTTTGCTAAATCTTTTAACAAAAAACCTACATTATTCAAGAAATAAATATTTTGCTTTAAAATTATTGAAATATTATAAATCAAAAATATGGGTTAGGATGACCCACCCCGGTGTCCGTGTAACAATTTTCCACCCCCATGACGCCGGGTTAAAAAAACTGATTATTAAGAATTTAGTAATAATGACAGTATTAACTAAATAAAACATCTCATACTTTTTTTGTATTCGCTTTTTTATTTTCTATTAGAACTCGTATTTTTATTATACACTATTTACCTAATTTCAATGTGTTTGATTTTTTTTTCTATTTATAAATGCTAGGTGTATAAAAGTGGAACTTGTTTGCAAATTATGTCAATGGCAACTTTTTTTTCTCACAAGTAATGAGAAAAAAATCGTTTGAAACCCCTGGAATTTAGGATGGGGCGAATGCGTCTACCACTTAAAGTATAAATTAGACGCCATAGCCCCAAATTTTTTTGTTCGACTTAATAGGAGAGACCAAGCCAAGAATATCGCTTGTAAGATGATAACTAGCTATATCATGAGCGATCTAATATATTTTTTCGATTAATTGTGTTACGAAGGCTTCCTATTATATGGTACTTGCTAAGGTCGTCTTTGCCCCACCTGGGGCTTTTGCGTCTTGAAATCTCAACTTGTAAAGAATGGGTGTTTTCAAGCAAGGGTTTTAAAAATATCACGAAATAATATTTAAATATAAAATTTTATTAAATAATGTGTTATATGTTTTAATTCACATTGTTTTAAATTATACAACAAAATTAATATGATCAGTTAAAAATGCCGCTCAAAGTATCGTGACGCATTAGCCCCGGTTGACCTTAACTAAAAATTCAGTGTATGTATTATGATTATAACATAATATACTAATTGGGGTGTCTGAGAGTGTGTGTTAATTACGTTACATATTGTATATGATGTGTCTGTATAAATACATACATTGTAGTGTCACAAATTTAAACGCAAAAACAAACGCTTCTTACTCGTCCTTACCTATTATGTCCGCAACCAACTCACCATTAATGTTAATGGTAAGATCGGAAGTAAACTCAATCAAAAATAAAGGACGCAGATATCACAACCTATTCTGATTCAAAACTACTACGTTTTGTATCCATGCACGATGTTAGCTCTGGCTGAAATTGACGGCACGAGGACACGCAAGGTAAAAACCAGATGATTAAGCAAGAGGACACGCACTACGTGGTAGAGCCTCTCTGTATTGTATTATTGTTGCAGTGCTCATGAACTAAGTTCGACCAGGGAAGGACCACACACCAACAAAAACCGTATTCAAGTCATTGGTGTGGCCACCCTTGACTTGGGCAAGTCCAACTTTTTTATATTATATTTCTTCGATGTTGACTTCGGTGAGAGTGAGTGCACACTAAATCTGCTTCTCTTTGAATCTGTCCATTATCAGGCCTGCTGGAAGAAATTTCAATATGAAATAAGCAGCGCCTTTGTACAAAATATCTTTTTTTCATTTTTTCATTGTAACATTACTTTAAGTGTACATAAATTGTTAAATAAAAAATTAATACCATCATTTACTGAAAGCCATAACACCTGCCTATAATTTCCTTTTTTCGTTTCCTATTCATGTTGCCGTGTTATGATGACACAAATTATACCCAATTGCTTTCTATTACTAACAAAAAAGATTTATATGAAATATAACATAATATTTTGCTCTAACTATAGATATCGCAATGGGATGAATATTATTATTTTTTTTATTTTATTATAAACTAAATAACTTTTGCTTAATAAATTTTTTAAACTGTTTGTTAGAGTTCTCGCATATTTTCTAGAACTCTGTTGTAAAAGCTTCAGAGCTTCGAGAACAACATCTTCCAGATATATACCATGCCTGTGCCGCTACTACTCGGTGATATCTGCATAATACAGTGGAATCTCTATAACTCGAATGTCAAGGGAAATGGCAAAAAAAAATCGAGTTAACTAGTTTTAGACTTAACAAGAACATCAAGATACATATGATTTAACTGGTGAAATTTCACTTTCAGAGGCGCGATTTCTAAGTTTTTTTTTCGATTTGTCTACAAATCGAAAAATTCAAGTCGAATTTGATTAACAATTCAACTTAAGTTTTATAGTATATATTTTTTCATATTAAAACAAACTACATATTAAAACAAATTACATATTAATGAAGTAAATTGTACACTAAAAAAATCCGTTATCTTCTTTTGATTTAAACTATTTGCAGATTTTTTATCAATTATTTTTTCAAGCTCAGCCAAAGCCAAAATAAATACTGATGGACAAGTTCCGCTAAAAGTAATTGTGTCCTGTGTCGACAAAGGAACAAACATAATATTCACAGCGGTGTTACTTAGAAAGTTTTATGAATGTATACATTCATAGCACGTGTATAAGACAAAAACAATAGATTAGAAGCCCCGAACCCGAACATTCATTTTGAATTTTATTATAGATTATAGAATTTCAAGTAAGACGTCCATTATATTTTATTAACCCTTTATGGGGCTCTGTCGATATATTCGACACCATACTTTTTATTGATTTATTTTTAAACTGCTAGCAGTTTGGTACTGCGATAGTCTGTATTCGATTCGGACAGGTCATAGCAAAAACGAAACGCAAAAAGAAAAAAAAAGTATGGCTGACATTGACAGCTGACGACATCTTATGTCATTATTTGGCTGTTTTCTGAAGTGCAAATTTCATCCAAGAACAACTTCGCGAAAAATGAGTAAAAAGGTAAGTTTTCTTTTATGATTTGTTCTAAATATTATAAATATTGCAGCTTACTCAGTATTTCAGAATATATTACGTTTTTACATACATATTCAACGAAAAATTATGATGTCGATATATTCGACACTGCCCGCCCAGGGCTGGGCTAGGATTTATATTGTAATTGTATAGAATTCTTACAATTAAGTATTAGGTAGTATAATTTAATATTTCCTTATTATAGGCGATCCCATTAGAGAAGTTGGAAGATACTCTCGCAGACTTATTTGCTTTGTCGGACGGCGAAAACTCCGAAGACGACAATCAGAGTGATGAAGACGAGAATGAAGCAGTTTTCTCATCATTTACCAGTACAGAACCTGAGGATATTTTATTTGGATCTGGTCTGAATGAATCACAGCCAACAACATCAACAGTTTCGATTCTTCCGTCATCTTCTAATATGGATATATCTGCCACACATGATAGTATTACAGGTAGTACTCAACCTACTCCCTCTAATTCTAGAATGTCTTCAATCACAAGACCTGTTACACCTGTAGTTACACAAGCTGATGACACGGATAACTCGGAAGACAGTTCAGAAAATAACTCGGAAGATGATGGCGATGAAGAGTGGAAAAAAGTGCAATTTCCACACATCCCGCCTACTGAGAAATTTGATGAAATTTTACTGCGACCATCACAGTTTTTTCCTAATCGAAGTTCTCCTCGGACATATTTCAATGTTTTTTTGAATGACGAAGTCCTATTGAACATAGTTGATCAGACAAATTTATACGCAGCCCAAAACCGACAGAAAGATTGGGATATTGTAACATTGCAGGAGCTAAAAGCTTTTTTTGGTATTTTGATACTTATGGGCATTCACGTACTTCCAAATATATCTCTCTACTGGTCTTCCGATCCTATGTTCCGTGTGGCAGAGATTGCTAATGTTATGACAGTGAAGAGATTTAAAAAGATTTTGGCAAATTTACACCTAAACGACAACAGTCAAATGCCCAAGAGAGGTGAAGAAGGGTATGATAAACTTTACAAAATAAGGCCTATGATCAAAATTTTGAATAGTGCTTTCCAAAGTGGTGGAGTGTGCTCATCATCGCAAAGCATAGATGAGTGCATGATTAAATTCAAAGGGCGTAGCACTCTGAAGCAGTATATGCCAAAAAAACCAGTAAAACGGGGTTTCAAAGTGTGGTCGCGCTGTGACAGTCTGACTGGATATTTGTATCAGTTCGAGATTTATACTGGAAAAAAAGATGACGCCACTACAGAGGTTGGATTAGGAGCCAGTGTGGTAAGAGAACTATCAAAAAATCTTATTGATGAAAAGGTTGAGAATACTCACATCGCTTTTGATAATTTTTTTGCGTCCCATGAGCTATTGCAGTACCTATTTGATAATAATATTTATGCAACTGCAACTGTACGCGCAGATCGTACAAACTTGCCCAAACTTATAAAAAACCAAAAAAAAAAAAGAAAGATGAACCTAAACCGCCTCCTCTGGTACTGGCTAAAGGAGAGTACAAATGGCGAGTCAATCAGAACGTCGCATTTTTTGTATGGAAAGATACTAAATTGGTGTATGTATTGAGTACTGCTTATCATCCCCGTCAGAAAACAACATGTAGAAGAACGCAGAAGGATGGTTCGAAGTCTGACGTTTCTTGTCCCATAGGAATCCTGGAGTATACCAAAAGAATGGGAGGAGTTGATAGATTTGACCAGAAGAGAGGTACATACTCCATCTCAAGACGTAGTAAGAGATGGTGGATGCGAATATTTTACTTTTTGGTTGATTCTGCCATTACAAATGCCTATATAATATACACCCAAAATGACAGAGTGCACAACCCTATGACCTCCTTGCATTTCCGCACCGTGCTCGCACGTAACCTGATAGACAACTTCAGCTCCAGGAAAAGGACTGTGGCACAATCGCCCAACTTTGTAACTAAAAAACCAAAAGGGCCAACAAGTAGACAGAAGGCCATTCACGGAATACCTGATGAACTGAGGTTGAATGATGTGGGGTCTCACATGCCAATGGAGCTACCCAAATACCGAAGGTGCAGAGCATGCAGCAGCAAAAACCTTAACAAAACATCCAAAATACAGTGCACAAAATGCCAAGTTCCATTGTGCATTGTACCATGCTTTGCTCAGTTCCATACACCCTGAAGGGCAGTGTCGAATATGTCGACACCACGATTTTTTTAAAAAAAAAATAAAAAATATATCTTAAAATTAATAAAAAAAAATACATTTTTCACATACAAGTATTATTTTTTCATTTCCCCAGCCAGGAGCTTCTGCCCCTTAAAGGGTTAACTACGACTTACGGAGTCTTATTTTTGAAATTTCGAGTTATAGAGTATAAATATGTATTGTCAATACTTCGTAGGGAAATAACATTTTGTTCGAGTAGAAAGTCTAAATAATTCCAGATACCCCGTATTTAGGGAATCAGCGGAAGGGAATGACAATTTTTTTTCGACTTACTGAGGATTTCGACTTAAAGATGTTCGAGTTATAGAGATTCCACTGTACTTTATATAATGAAAGGCTGACCGCCTGCAGTCGAGGTGTCGACCAATGAATGACTTCAGCCACCAGGGCGGCACCACTATAGATGAAGTAAAATATTTCACAGATTTCATAGCTGGGGAAAGTGTTGAGATAAATATCTATTTCTGAAATATAACTAGAAGTCTAAAAAATTAAAAAAGGAGTATAAATGTGCAAATCATTAAAGGGCCAACCATTGAGGCATTGTTTCGTGTAATAATATAATACTTAGGGAATGAGATCTCGGCCTTTTTTAGCGAGATTGATCTCGGACAAAAAAAGGGCGAGATCTCGCGAGTTTAACGAGATTGCACTCGAGCATAAAACGTCTTATTCGAAGCGCGGACTGACACGGACGTAGTTGCGATCTGTCGGTTATCTAAAATAAGAAGCCGTTTAGCAGACAATTCTTTGGACATTTTGTTCTTCTCAAGGAGCTACTTTCAAAATAATTCGTAATAATGGCTTGTGATTTGAACGGAACAAATCTTTCATTTCATTGGTATATTTTGTTAATTAATCTGTAATATCTAATGGATCTACTGAGTAGATATAGTTTTATTATGTATTTAAATATATTTACCAACCTTTTGGTAAAAAAAATTTGATAATATGTCTCAGTTTAATAGTCAACTCAACTTAAATAATAAGTTTCATTTTTTGGATTTCCCGTTGTTTCATTGTTGCATATCGACTATGAACTGGCAACTGGTCCTATCTCAATTTTTTGAAGATTTCACTTTTTGATGCAATTTTATACTATTTCATACTCCGCAACGCTGCAATAAATCCCATCTCAGATACGTTTAAATTTGACGCCAGAATCGACTTCATTCAACTTCTACTAACTTCAACGCGCAGTGAATGCAAGCATTTAATACTATCTCGCCCAACGTGTACGGATATGAACGCGATTTCGCGCGCTCTTGAAACAACCGTTTTATGTGAATTCATTAGGTCTCTGTGCCATAAGTTATTAGTTATCATTATTGGGGACTTCTAGTAGCTGAAATGGTATGTTTTCATTATAAACTAATCATTAATATTCAATATTTCTACGTTAATAATCTATAAATCGAGCTAGTACATTATGCATCGACGTTAAAAGTTTTAGCAGATTGGAATGACTGAGAGACAGTACTTTACAGTTGTAATAAACTAAGGTTGACATCAACCAAAAATACCTTTCGCTTGATTTACCTTTATATAGGTATACGATGAATTACATGCTTTTAAGATGCACGATTCCGCTATAAGTAGGCATCTAACACAATTTTATATTACTGTATTATTCAAGTGCCATTAGCATGGACTGCTTGCCCTTTAAACCGCCGCGTTGTACAGGCTTGCGGGATAAGAATTGCAGAATGTGGTTATTACTACCTACCTGCCTCTTAATTAACTAGCCACTTGCTTGGTTGGGTTTATTATAACATAAACAATTATGGAAATTATTTGTAATTTCAAACGATTTATCGGTCTTGATATACGCTTCTCTGCTACCATTTTAGCTACTACTTTTAGCTATAACTACTTTTTTCAGGAGTATAATAAGTTGAGATATGGTAAGCGCTTGGTACGGGAAGTACTTAATGGCGATAAAAATAAAGAAAATGCTGAAAATAAACGAAAGTGACGAAATAATAAATAATGTGTTAGTACGTAACTAAATCTGCTGAGGTATGGGCTTATTTTATATCTAATAGGTTTTGAACATACAAATATGTCTAGCCAGAAAAATACAGTAACTTTTACCACGTGTAACCAGCAAGAAACAAGCCTTTTTACCATGTCTAACCAGCAAGAAACAGTCCCTTTTACCGTGTCTAACCAGCAAGAAGCAGTCCCTTTTACCATGTCTAACCAGCCAGAAACGGTCCCTTTTACCGTGTCTAACCAGCAAACAAGTCCCTTTTATAGTACTTACGGGAGACACCTGTTATACTGAGGACATACATTTTAACCCAAATATGGACACTATGTTTGATTCTCTACCTGCAGATTATTTATTTCTACGGTTCGTTCCTTCACCATACTCGATTTTGAACATAACATAGATGATGATTACATAAACGACGAAGCCTGTTTAGATAAACCAAACATGTCACTCAGCCCGCTACCATCCACGTCCCCAAATTTCCTTTCAACATGACATTAAGTTCGTCTCCAAATACGTCACTGAACGCACTTCGAAACACACTACCATCAAGCGATGAATCTCCCGAGTCACCATCAATATTAGTGACAAATGATACAGTAGAAAATAGTGCAGGTCAAGTAGCAGAAAACATGCAAGGAAAATTTTCAGAGAATGACCCCAATAATTATAATATGAGTGAAGGAAGGAAAAGAATAAAGAAAGCTGAGCCGGCTGAGTGGAAGAGAAACATCAACAAAAAACTGCAAATTGAAGGAAGAGCTTACTTAGGTTTTAGAAAAGTTGGAAAAACTGTCGTACAAGATACACCAAGAAAAGAACGAATGATGAAGCCAACATGTTCTAGTAATGTTTGTTTAAAGTCTAAAAACATTGCTCATTATTTATGATGCCAACATGTTCTAGTAATGTTTGTTTAAAGTCTAAAAACATTACTCATTATTTACGGAAGAACAGAGGAAAACGATTTACGAACGATTTTGGAGTTTGACTTGGGGAGAACGCAAAGCATTTGTGTTTGGATCGGTTTCTAGAGTTCCAACGAAAGCTAATACTACTGACAGTGTTTCTCGACGCAACTATAGCCTTAAATATAGTTTGAATAATGGACAAGAGAGTTATCAGGTTTGTAGAGAAATGTTTATAAATATGGTTGGTTGGATTGGGTATAGAATGGTTCAAGCATGGGTAAGTGAGAGCTCGCATGGAATTCCTATGACTTCAAAAGATAAAAATACCACACCAAATAATAATCTTTTATCACAAATTGAGTGTCTAAATAACTTTTTCGATAATCTTGCAAAAATGCCGTCCCATTACAATATACAGAATTCAACAAACTCTATCTAGAACCCGTTTTTCAAACAATGCAAGAGGTTTATAAATTATACGAGTCGATGTGTACTCAGGCATTACAGTCGGCCTTCAGCCGCAAAAAATTTAGTGAAGTTATGGTTGAAAAAAATATTTCATTATTTAATGTAAAAAAAGATAAATGCAACTTATGCCGGTATAACCGGTTATGAAACTAAAAATGTACAAGAAGAAGTTTGAAAGGAGCATACATCGAATAAAGAGATTGCTAGAATGGTAAAATGCGAGGATATAAAGAAAGCTATTAAAGAAAAAATTATTTTAATAGAAGGAGATTTTCAAGCTGTAAAGCTAGCTCCATTTACCCACGCTAATGCTTTTTATTACAAAACAAAGCTAGCTTGTCATAACTCGACAATTTACAATGTTGCAAAAAAGCAAGTTACATGTGATTTTACCAAATATTGGATAGACTTATCTCATAGACCAGAGATTCAATCCAGTGAACTGTTACCCACCCTTATTTACATCAAGATGACGTATTCCTAAAACGAAAAGGTTACACCTCCAAGAATTGAAAGCTGTCATTCCTCAAGATTGTCATAACTTTTATGATAATTTGCCTTATCAGGAATAATTTTGATCCCAAAGAGAACAAGAATCAGTTTTTTGCCACTTCTGTATGCAGTTGGTTGGCCTAGTTAAGGTAGGACTGTAGGCAAAGGTGGCATAAAACAAGCCATATTTTGTTATTTTTCTAGATTCTTTAATTTTGTTAACTATTGTATTTTTTTTTATAAAATAGGGATTGTATACAATACAATTAATTTAGATGATGAAAGAGATATCTGAAGCTTTCATTGATTTACTCTAAGAAATGAAACCCCAAAATTGAGAATAAAAAGTTAAAAAAAAAACAATTGTTAATGACTGACCCACCTAGACTAATAGCTTTGTAGACTTCCCCACCTAATAATGTTCCCATAATGTCGGAAATATAAAGACTATTATGAATAACAATTATATTGTAAGTTAATTACTTAATTTCATTATATAGAATATTGAGTTAATAATGTCCTATCGTTATTGTTTTATTTTGATTTTGAGGATAGGCCTTATTTTGTTCAAGCAAAATATTCTATGTTCGTTCTTTAGTTGATTTATAATGTCCTATCTCGTTTTTATATTAGAAGGAAGCATATATTGCTACTTTTGTTTTTAATAACATGTGCAATAAAAATATTCAAAAACTACGTATTTTTATTTAATATACCAGATGCTATACAAATGATGCAAACAAGTTTTTTCTACATCCTGTAAAGTTGTCAAAATTGAGATAGTACCAGTTGCCAGTTCACAGTCGATATATTATCTTATGTTGTTGTCATTTCGTAGTTGCATATATTATCTATTGTTTATAGGCCTGTGATCGTGTTTTCGAACGAAAGAAAAAAAAGGGATGTCAATGTCATTGTCACTATAATTACTCACCGGTTATTGCATTTTTATGCAGTTTAGTTTAGTTTAGTTTTATGCATTTGTACCACTGTCGAGCGAACAGGTAACCTGTTCGCTCGGCAGTGGTACAAATGTGACTAACACAACGCCCTCCGCCCGCTCGATAAGGATAATACACATTAGCACCACTCATAATTTATGAGGGCGAACCCGACAAAAAAAGGTTTGTCATTAAAAATTATAACAAATTTATACTGCAATGTATAATACAGACATAGACAAAGACATACTCTTTAATTTGGTACCATAATCTGTCAATGTCGATTCTAAAAATAGACATAAAAATCATTCTGACGTAATGGCTTTTTACAACAGAAATACATATGTCGAGAAAAAATCCGGCAAGTATTCATTTTTGGTTATTTTGCATAGATGTAATGTTTATTCAGTAGTTGATGTGTTTTATTTTTCCAAATAACAAAAAAATTACTTGATTTGATGGATTCGAAGTATGTGGGAAATATTTGCTTGTTGCCCGTTTAAGTTTCCTACGTAACGATTTATGTGGGAAAACTGTATCCGTAGGAAGCATGCAGGATTTTTTATTTATCTCATAAGCACTGTTTTACGTTTTAGAAACCACTTCGCAATTCTTAAATTGAGTTCCAGCTGTCACAGCTACTATGTTCATCGGAAGAAGAAGACCTTGATGATAAGCACTTGACTCTTTTGCTACCAGTAGTTACAATGTCGATTTAGACAAGCGTTTGGATGAGATTCAAGGTATTTATGTCGAAGGATTACATTCTTTATTGGTGGGAGAATCAGATTTGTCTCCAATCCAGATGAAACTTTTTTGAATTCACCAGTTCAACAGATTTCTAAGCCAATTCTTCCTCAAGTGGCTTCAACTTCAGAAGATGCAATCGCTAAAGTCCATGCAGGCCCTCCTCATGTGATTTCGGATGTTCCTATGCTACTTGATCAAAATCCTGGTGATACAACCTCACTTGTTGCTGTAGCTGATGTCCAGGCAGACCACTCTTCCCCAGTTTTTTGGCAGAGCCTGATGAAAGCTCTAATGCAAAACCAACATTTTCTTTCTCTAGGGATAAATTCATTCGATTTCAAAATAAATCAGGAGATTAGTCTTTTGCAACTGATGATTTTACTTGGCCTATTTTCAAGAAGAAAATGCAGATTAAAAAATTACAGTAACAGAAGTCAACCTCCAACAACTGGATTATTTTCTTGACTTTTTCCCTGATGAGTTACTGCATATTATTGTTAAAAATACAAATATTTATGCAAGACACACACATTCAAAAGCTTGGACTGAAGTTACAAAAGAAGAAATAAAAGCATACTTTGGAGTGATTATACTAATGAGCATAAATCCTAATGGATTTATGCTCATTAGTATAACAGATATAAATACTTATTGGTCAACTGGTGAGTTTTTCAGAAATCCTATTATTTGCAAAGTAATGCCCTTTAAAAGATTTAAAAAAATAACACAAGATCTCCATATATCAAATATTTCCGCGGAAGCTCCACAAAACTCACCAGATTATGATAAATTGGGTAAAATTAAACTTGCCATTTCAATCCTAAACAAAGTTTTTCAAGAGAATGTTCAGGTGTCAGAATTTAATTGAATAGACGAAAGTATTATCTGGTTCAAAGGTCGAAGTCACATGAAGCCGTATATGCACAAAAAACCTATAAAACGTGGGTACAAGTGTTTGGCAAGAGCAGATTCTCTTACAGGGTATTTATATGAATTTCAATTTTATACTGGTAAAGTCGATACTGAAACTGAAGAGAATTTAGGGGCCTGAGTAATAATTGCAATCCGGATTCTTCGAAATTCGAAAATAACTGAAAAATCCGGATTTTACAGTTTTATAAATCCGGTTTTTAAGATTCAAATCCGGTTTTTTACGAATTTTAGTGAAAATTGAGTTTAATGGATAATATTTTACATTTATCCACAAATTTTGATTCTAACTAATGAATAGGTAGGTGTTACCTACTCTAATACGTTCACTTTATGAATGTGTTTTGTTGTTTATTTTCATCATCACCACCATGATTACAGTCCTTCACAAGTCCACTGCTGAACATAGCCCTCCCCCAAGGAATGCCACAAAGCACGGTCCTGAGCCACCTGCATCCATCGACTTCCTGCATGTCTTACCAGGTCGTCACTCCATCTAGTGTGGGGTCGCCCTACACTACGCCTACCGGTCCGAAGCTGCCACTTGAGAACCATTTTTCACGGTTTTCGGTTCTTCGAGCTATATGGCCGATCCATTGCCTTGCATTCTATTATATTGCATTCCTAAGTTTATTACTCAGAGAAACCCCGAGCATAACCCTTTCCATAGCACCTTGAGTGTCGTTATATTGCCAGCAGTGAAGGACCACATTTCAGATCCATAAGTAACCACTGGCAACACGCACTGGTTGTACAGTCTCGTTTTTAGGTTTTGAAGTATACCTGACGAGAAGATGTGTTGTAATTTCCCGAACGCTGCCTAGCCGAGTTGAATCCGTCGATTAACCTCTCGGTCAAAGTTGGACTTACCTAGTCGGACTATTTGTCCCAAGTAAACTCACTCGTCAACAACTTCGAGCTTAGTGATCTCTCTTAGTGATCAACTACCGGCATAGGTGTGACATGGATAATAAACAGGAATATGTTTTGTCCCTGCTCATCTTAAGACCTATCTGTTGGGAGACACTATTGAGTTCATTGAGCATAGTGCTTAGGTCCTCCAGCGATTCCGCCATAAGGACTATATCGTCGGCAAATCGAAGGTGAGTGATGTACTTGCCATTGATGTTAATACCGTATCCTTTACAGTCCAGTAGCTTGAAAACGTCTTCCAATACAGCGGTGAAGAGTTTCGGGGATATAATGTCACCCTGTCTTAGACCTCTATGCAGTTAGATAGGTTTCGAGCTCTGGTTCTGTACTCGGATAGCCATCGTAGCCCTACTGTACAAACACTTCAGAACTTCGATATATCGACAGTCAACTTGGCACGCTGCAGGAACTGTAGCACCGCCCAAATTTCGACGGAATTAAAGGCTTTTTCATAGTTCACATACG